GAAACAAGATATACCCATCATATATATCTCAACAGGCAGAAGAGTCTTTGGGATGTGTCCTATCTTTTCCTACAAAAAGTGGTGTATAGTCCACATGCAGTGGTGAAGAAACCATTTCAAGCAGAGTGCTGCTGTGTGCATCTTTTCCTCCATCCTGGAAATAAATGGGGCATATTCCCATCTAAGAGCTTTAGGAAACAGCTATCTATATTACAGATGAATGGGCCCCAACCACTTGTGCCGGCCGGCACAGGAATGTATTGTATAATATATTTGACATTTATGTCTTCCTTCATACAGGCCTGAGGCCTGCTACTCTCCTTTTTGACGCATATTGTGCTTGCTCTATTGCATACATGTGATATACACATTATAGCATAATTTTTGGATTCCTTGATAGGGATTTGCCATAATGGTTACTGCTTAATCCCTTATATCCTCTATTTTGGTATGCCCATGGCATAATTTTTGGATACACCTCCCTAGGGAAGTGTTCACCTATGTGTTTGTGCTACAGGGACATTAGACTCATGTAGCCATTTTCCCTGCTGTGCACACACATTTAGACCGGTTCTGGTGTCATTTTAAATGGTTTTAGGTCTGTGTGTATTGTCTCATACTGAGGTGATGGTAAACCAGGGCAAATGCCCATATGTCATATCTATATATGTGTAATAAAGCATAATTTTTGGAAATTATTTCCTGAGTGTCACGTTCTGTTCATTATGTAGCCGCTTTTCTGTGAATCTCTTTTCACAACCCTCTTTTTTTGTATGCCTCTTTTTGGCTACTGAATGGAGACCATACATTGGGTGACACGCTAATTTATCCAATAACCTCTTAAATAATTATCTTAGTATATGCATCTCATGGGGCCCCCTACTGACCCCGGGCCCTCGGGCATTGCCCGAGTTTCCAAATGGTCATTCCGCCCCTGATGATGGGTCTCCAAACTTTCTAAACAAAGGGCCAGTTGACTGTCCCTCAGACTTAAGGGGGGTCGGACTGTGGCCATTAAGAGTAGAAAATGCCCCAGCATCAGTGGGAGTAGACCATGTCTCAGGCTTGGTGGTCAGTGGGAGTAAAGATTACATAGTACCCATGGGCAGTAAGAGGAAGAATAGTACCACATCATTGGTATAAGTGGGAGGAATTATGCCTAATTATTGGTGTAAGTGGAAGGAATAGTGTCACATTATTGGTATCTGTGGAAGAAATAGTGCCCCGATGTTGGTGTCAATGGGAGGAATGGTGCCTCATCGTCGGTGATAGTGGAAGGATTAGTGGCTCATATCAGTGGGAGAGAGCGTATGCCTCTGGGGCCTGATAAAGGTAAGCATAGGGCCACATCCAGCCCGCAAGCCGCAGTTTGTAGACCACTGATCTATGGCACAGGATACTATATCGCAAAACGAAAAGCAAAGACTTACTATGCCATAAGAAACAGCTAGATATGTTAGTCTCCCAATGTTTGTATCGGTGGGATGATCAGCTATCTATGAATTGTCTCCTATTTGTTTGTATTAGTGGGATGAACAGTGCCCCGTTGTTGGTGTCAGCTGGATGAACAGTGCCTGTCATCGGTATTAATGGGAGGCATAGTGTTCCATCATTGGTGTCAGTGGGAGGCATAGTGTCCCATCATTGGTGTCAGTGGGAGGGATAGTGTCCCATCTTTGGTGTCAGTGGGAAGGATAGTGTCCTATCATTGGTGTCAGTGGGAGGGATAGTGTCCCATCTTTGGTGTCAGTGGGAAGGATAGTGTCCTATCATTGGTGTCAGTGGGAGGGATACTGTCCCATCATTGGTGTCAGTGGGAGGGATAGTGTCCCATTGTTAAGACAGGTGAAACACAGCTACTACCTCCTTAATCATCCACAGGTTACAGGCAATAGCTTCCAGCTAGGAAGGTTCCTGTTAACCTCGAATCTTCAAGCAATGCATAAGGAAAGCTGGCACTCCATTGCAATGGCTATAATTAAATTCTCTTTATTAAAGTTTGTGTAGTACAGTCATGTAGAGTTCCAACACATTTCGGCTTTCAGGCCTTAATCATGGCTAACAAACAAGTGAATATGACTCTAATATAGGGTTGCCATCTCATCCCTTTAAAGCCGAACACATATTAAAGTGGAGCTCCACCCAAAAGGGGAAGTTCCGCTTTAATGCTTTGTCCCCCAGTCCCCATTAAGGATTGGCACCTTTGGGGAGTGGGTACCCGAACTTGACAGGTACCCGCTCCCACTTCCGCTGCAATTGGTTAGGTGATTGGAAGCGGAAATTGTTCTCTCCCCCCCCCGCTTAGTCTTCTGGGACACATGACAGGTCCCAGAAGACTACGGAGCCATTCACAAAGTGCAGCGTTTCTCGCGCATGCGCAGTGGGCACCCGGCTGTGAAGCCGCAAGCTGTCACAGTCGGGTGCCCGTGCTAAAGATGCCGGCACCAGGGAGAGAAGACGGCCGATGAAACCAGCAGAGGTGAGCAGGGGCGGACTGACAACTCATGGGGCCCCCAGGCAATAGGGAATCATGGGGCCCCTGTGTCCTTGCCCAAACTCAAAGAAAGCCTATGAAAAAGGTACCAGGGGCATCTCATGGGGCCCGCTACTGACCCCGGGCCCTCGGGCAGTGCCTGAGTTTCCAAATGGTCAGTCCGCCCCTGGTGGTGAGGACACCACCAGGGGCCGAGGGACAGGTAAGTGTCTGTATTTTAAAAGTCAGCAGCTACAGTTTTTGTAGCTACTGACTTTTATTTTTTTTTTTCTTCAGTTGAAACTCCGCTTTAATCACACAGGTTCTGTGGCTGATTAAGGTCGTAATTAAACTAACTTAGTGGCTTATCTGAATTAAATTAGCCTTAGAACATGTGTAATTAATATGTGTTCGGGTTTAAAGGAATGAGATGGCAACTCTACTCTAATAAATAGTACAAACATGATTGTCAATCCCGCCTCCCAGGATCACATGACTCTAGGAGGGAGGAATAAATGATGCCGTATAAAACATTCATACATATAAAAAAGAAAATGTATAAAAGCAAGAGCAAACAGACATCAGAATATGGATATACCTATATGGATCGCAGCCTGGGCCGTGGATAGGGGGGTACACCAGTCCTCCTCTATGGGTCCCAGGCAGCTGGTTGAATCAGATTTGTGGGCTGGGAGGGAGATTGGCATGGCGGGGGGCAATTACTGGAACCAATCCTCTGTATGGCTCTCTGCAGCAGCTGAAAGCTGGCTTCTTCTCCTCTCCCTCCCATTTGCTTTCATCTGCTGCAGAGAGACATGAATGGGATTGGTTGCAGTAATCCCCCTCTTCACCGCAAATAAATGGAATTGGATCCAGTAATTCCCCCCCTCCCCTCCGCACCCATCACCCTCTGCACCATACATTTCCCTCTGCTTCCCTGTGTGCCCCCCTGTGTGCCCCCACTCCTACAGTGTTGCCAGCTTCCCTCCTTTCCTTTCCACCGGCAACTGCAGTCACGCAAAAGGGTCCTTCAGGATGGAGAGTGGGGGAAGGGTTTGGTAAATATGTCACATTTACTAGCCCCTTCCTTTCTTGAATGAACACGATGAGTGATTGGTACTAATCATTCATAACTGAAGCGTAGTAAACTGTTTTGTTTTTTAAGGGGCCCTGTGAGGTTGGCTGTATGGGGTCCCATGGTTTCCAACGGGAGCCCTGATCACAGCATAAACAGAAAAAGCAGTTGCATAATCAAAATAACAGATACTGTAAATTATAACCAATAAATGAATAAATAAATTAATAAAACAAATGTATACCATGAACAGGAGAAATAAAGGGAGGAAAAATAGCAAAAGACCAAAAAATCTCACTTGAGAAACAGGTCCACATCCCATTTGTGATGAAGTCCAGAGCGGATGCGGGTCTGTAGCCTATATATCCAGTATACCTCTCGCTGCAATAAATGACAGGAATCTGTCACCTTCCCCTTTAGCTGGCAACACTCTTTCTATACCATAAAAATGAATGAAGCCATATTACCATTATGCACATTTTTTAAATGTTTGGAAACATTTGAAATGCTCCTAGCATTTTCATTAAGGCTATCACAATAGTGTTCAGCTATTCTATAGCGAAGGGGATGGATGGTGCAGTCGGGATATTGTAATTTGCATCCAGGACACTGGATAAGATACACTAAATGGTCTGTACCACAACTGATATATTGTTGAATCTTCACATTTTTGTTTGTGGCATATGAACCTGCCGGAGTTTGCATGTTCTCCCTGTGCCTGCGTGGGTTTCCTCTGGGTACTCTGGTTTCCTGCCACACTCCAAAGACATGCTGGTAGGTTAATTGGCTCCTGTCTAAATTGACCCTAGTATGTGTATGTATGAATAAATGTAAGTTAGGGACTGTGACGGGAGTGAATTTTGGGGGTGTTGGGACCCCTGTATCATCTTCCCAAATTCTTATGTTTAAGTCACCCTGTGCCTATTAGGGGACAGGGTGAAATGTGCTAATATGTCCATTGTTCACTGCCACTTGGTTGTCCTTTGTTCACTGCCATGTGCTGAATCCCATTGTTCTGTGTCTTGGTTGGTTGGGGAGTGTTTCCTGTAGCCCTTCCCCCTGATGTGGCGGGCTGCTGATGTCTTTCCTGTTCCTGGTTGTGTTTCCCTGCCCTGTGTATATAACTTGTGTTTGTGTTAAAATAAAGCAGTTGACTTCCTGTCTTAAGAAGAGTCGGGTGTTGTCTATTTCCTGCATGATCAGCGGGTAGTGTCCGAGGATTTTTGTTCGGACAGGGAAGCTGCAGTATAACGGAGATACCCAAGTGCAGTCTGGGTCCGGTTCCATTACAGGAACCTTAGATTGTAGACCCCTTGAGTGTTAGGGACTGATGTGAATGTACAATATATATGTAAAGCACTGCATAAATTGATGGTGCTATTTAAGTACCTGAAATAAATAAATACATAAAAATATGAAATAAAATCCTTGGTCACACAGTGCAGACGGCAGTATCTGCATGTTTTTAGTCCACATCATTATGAACCAGGAAAAGATAACCAAGGTGTTGGTAATGGTGCTGGAAGCTGCATGACTGGAAGATAAAAACAAACGTAAATTGGGAGGACGGCAGCTGGAAAAACTAATGCCATTCTTCAAAACAGCATGCAAGATCTTACCGGAAAAATAATTGGGAGCAGGGGCGGACTGACCATTTGGAAACTCGGGTCAGTAGGGGGCCCCATGAGATGCCCCTGGTACCTTTTTCATTGGCTTTTTTGAGTTTGGGCAAGGACACAGGGGCCCCATGATCCCCTATTGTCCGGGGGCCCCATGAGTTGTCAGTCCGCCCCTAATTGGGAGGTACTTTTTAATGATATTAACAATATAGTGATACTCTGCAGAGTAAGAGGTAACAAAAGTTACTTGTTGATTTTTGCATTTAAATTTTCCCACATTCTTAATACTGAATTCTGCATTATAGAAATACTCCAATAGACATTCTCTCTGTGTGGCAGCTGCAATCCTATAACCTCTGTCAATAGACCATTAAAGATAGCCCCTGGACCTAAGTCTCTCTCTAATGATTTTTTTTATTGTTATTATTATTATACAGGATTTATATAGCACCAACAGTTCTCAGTACTTTACAATATAACGGGAGACAGTTCAATACAAGAGGGTTAGGAGGGCCCTGCTCCTTGGAGCTTACAATCTAATAGGGAGGGGCTGGTGGTACAAAAGGTAATAACTGTGGGGGATGAACTGATAGGAGAAATAGAAAATTTGGTTATTAGCTGAAGGTTCGAACATTAAAAAATGTATCATACAAATTCAGAGAAAAGGGAGAGTAGGAGGCAATCTAAGCTCATTCATACAATGAAGGAACCCATGTAACTGCTGTCATTACCTAAGTTACTTTCACACTGAGGAGTGTTTTAAGCGTTTTTACATTAAGAAAAGTGCCCAAAAAGCTCAACAAAAACGCTTCCCTATGTATTAAAAGGCTATTTTGAAAAACTTGTGAGCCACTACTACTTCCGTTTGACAAGGTGCGTCAGCACAAAAAACATTTACTCAATGTGTATAAATAAAATTACAAACAATAGTGCCGCACTCCTAAAACATATTATATCATATAATAAAACAATTATCTTTCAAAAAATTAGTGATATATTCCTTTGTGTTATCGTGAGACAAATTATATCCAAATAATAAGTGACCATTGAAATATGCTAAAACAAAAAAAACAAAAAACAAAAAACCAAAAAATGTGATCAGTCCAAACGTGACAAATTCAAAAGTGAACAAATCTTCATTCCAAGTGACTTCTTATTGTGATCTCAATATGCGCTCACCTCCTTTGATGCCTCCTAAAAGGCAAAACTCGCTTTTGTTCACCTATTGGAACTATGGATCATATATTGCGTCACAGCAATAGTGGTGAGTAATTGCTGCTGGAAACGTGACTCTCCTCTCCTACTCACACTCCTATTTCAGTGGTCACTTATTATTTGGATATAATTTGTCTCACGATAACACAAAGGACTATATCACAATGTATATTTTTTGAAAGATAATTGTTTTATTATATGATATAATAAGTTTTAGGAGGGCGGCACTATTGTTTGTAGCTTCCTTATGTATTAGAATGTATATCTATGTATGTTTTCACACTGAGGCGTTGCTCTTGAGGTGCGGTGAGGCTACTTTCCGCTGCAAAAAACACAGCAATAACGGATAGGCATTTTTACTGTGCTTTGTGAGCATTTTTTAAACGACATGTGACTTAAAAACTGCACCATTTTTGAAGCGTTCTTCATGCGCTTTTCAGGCATTTTCCATTGATTTCAATGGGAAGAGGCATTTTGGGGGCATTTTTTTTAACTCACCAAACATGCCCCAAAGATGTTTCAAGTAGGAGTTTTTACACCGCACCACAAACGCAATGCCTCAGTGTGAAAACATACATAGATATACATTCACATACACAGGGAAGCATTTTCCTTGAGCTTTTTCAGGCGCTTTTGTTTAACGCAAAAACGCTTCAAAAACTCTTCAGTGTGAAAGTAGCCTAAAAACTCCTGCTTGCAGCATCTTTAGGGCATGTTTGGTGAGTTAAAAAAATGCCCCAAAAAAGCCTCTTCCCATTGAACTCAATGCAAAACGCTTGAAAAGCGCCTCAAAAACGAGAAGCTATTTTGGCACAGTTTTTAAGTCATGTGTCCTTTAACCCCTTGCCACTGGTGCCTCCCGACCCTTTAAGGGCTTCAGAAGCTGGGAGGTGGGGCAGGGTTTTAAGGTCATGTGACCTCCGTGATTCACCATCACAGTGGTCACATGATCGGGAAAAGTCCAGATCGAAAGAGGAGATCAGGACCTTTCCGTGAGTACCGGGATGTGTGCTGGGAGCTGCGTGGAGAGAACCTTAACATGACCAACAACACCCCTGCCTCATTACCCCCCCCCACCCGAGAGAGAGCCTTCCACTAACACCCCCCTCACCTGAGAGAGCCTTCTACTAACACCCACCCCCCACTTCGACCGACCGAGAGACAGACACTCACCTTCGCAGCTGTGGATATTCCTGGGAACGACAGTTGGGCTCTGCATACACAGGTGTCAAACTGGTGGCCCTCCAGCTGTTGCCAAACTACAAGTCCCATGAGGCATTGCAAGATTGACAGTTACAAGCATGACTCTCAAAGGTAGAGGCATGATGGGACTTGTAGTTTTGCAACAGCTGGAGGACCGCTGCTTTGACACCCCTGCGACACCATCAAGCAGCCTGCAGCCTCTCTGGGATCTCACCTGGTTCCCATGCCACATAGGTCCCCTCTTGCAGGGGGCTGTGCTGCCCCCCTAAAAAATGCCACCCTAGGCAAATGCCTTGTTTGCCTTGTGGTAAATACGCCCCTGTCATCCATATGATGGAGAAACATTTAAATACAGGAGATTCTAATACATCAGAAATCCCACCAGAAGGATCATTCTAAAGAACCTGGGATAACCCCATTGAATATTGGAGATAAAGTGCTCAGTTTTGCTGAATATTTAACAGAAGCAAACGTTGAAATTTCACTGACAGCAAACCTTTGGCATATTTACAGCCAGCTAAGTTAGGAGCTTTGGAGCAAAGGTGGGTGGCTTGATTAGCCAAATTTGACTACCAAATGAAATATCACCCTGGACAGAGTAATGCCAATGTGGATGCACTGTATTGCTTCCACTCATTGATACAAGTTTAGCAGGATAGAGAAGTTTATCAAGAGGACATAGAAATTGTTGATCTGTTTTAAAAACATTCATCTCTTAGATTGTAAGCTCCTAGGATCAGGCCCTCCTAACCCTCTTGTACTGAACTGTATTGTTGCTGTATTGTCTCCCGTTATATTGTAAAGCGCTGAGCAAACTGTTGGCGCTATATAAATCCTGTATAATAATAATAATCAGCTTATAAAGAAATCTGCATACTGTATGGTAATTAAGACATTACTGCCAATCAGAAAGTGGTCAAAACAAAATTGAAAAGGATTAAAACCTACTAAAGGGAACAGAGCAATGGAGTGTGGAGGGACGACACCAGATTAGAAATGAACCATAACATTCTCTATAGAAAGATAATATTCCTCAGGGCCCATACAACCTGTCAAAATATTTGGCTGCTTCAATTCTCAAATAAGCACAAGAGATAAATTCACAAAGGCGTTTAGAGAAGATTTACAATTGGTCCCAGAGAAATGTTTATTGCCATGACTTGCATATTATAGTTAAAGTGATATAAAAGGCATTTTTTTAAAAAATATGCTCTGTGTAATGGTTTTGCACAGAGCAGCCCCAATACTCCTCTTCTTGCGTCACCCACCAGTGCTCCTGGCCCCTCCCTTCTCCGGAGTGCTCCCAAAGCAAGCAACTCGCTATGGGGGCACCGAAGCAGGCTCGCTCCTGAGCAGCTGTGTGTGTCCAATCACACACAGAGCCTCAGCTTGGCCCCGCCTTTCTCTCTCCTCATTGCCTCACCAGCTGTGATTGACTAGAGCCAGGGCTCTAGCACACATTTCTGGATCGCGATGGGGCTCAGGTGAGTATTAGAGGGGGCTGCTGCCCCATATGGAAGAAAAATATATTTGAAATATATTTAAAAAATATTCTTCCCAAATATATTAATATGTATTTCAAATAATACAATTTTGGCCACATTCAATATATTTAAAATATATTTCAATAAATATATATATTTATATATATTATGTTGAAATGCGTTTTTATTACAAAATATATGAAAAATATTTAAAAAAATAAATTTTAAAATATACTGTATGTCTTTAACCAGTTGCCGCCCAGCCTATAGCCAGATGGGCGGCCGGGCGAACAGCTCGTCCCTCCCGGTGGACGCCATATGGCGTCCTTTCAGGCATGCTCAGTGCTCCTGCCTGTAGGGCCGCCCTGCGGCACGATCTGTCACCGGCCTTGTACCTCGGACATGGCCGATGGCAGATCTGTGTACCTGGCCCATTTCCAGTACCATGTGACCTGCTGTGACCGATCACAACAGGTCACATGACAGTTGTATACAATGGATGGCTTCCTTTCATGTTATCCATTGAATACAAGTGTGTCTAGCTGTGAATGGTCACAGCTATCACATGCACAAGCTGGGCCAATCACAGCCCAGCTGTGTCATGTGATTAGCCGTGGCCAAATCACAGCTATGCAAAAAAAAAAACCCTGAATGAATCGATGTCATTCAGGTAAATGCTTGCTTATAGTAAAGTAATTCTTTGCTATAAGCAAATTGTGTAAAAAAAAAAAAATACTGATCACTTCCCCAAAGTAGTACAATGTTACTATGGTAACACTGTACTACTTTGGTCATAGTGAAATATAAAAAAAAATCTTAAAAAAAAGAGCAAAAAGGTAATAAAAAATTAAAGATAAAAAAAAAGTAACAAATTTTTTTTTTTTCATACTGTGACCAGTCAGTGTCCCTGATCATCAGTACTTCAGGATTGATCAATATTCAGATATATCCCATAGTTTGTGAACTCTATAACTTCCTACAGACTAAATAATACATCCTAATTTGGGTTATTTTCACCAAAG